GGAAAGAATACCCAACTAACGGAGGACATCTCGCACTATTCTTCTTCACAAGAAAGGCGGGAAAAGACCTTAAGGACTACCAACCGATCAGCTTGCTAAGTGTGCTTTACAAGCTGTTCATGAAGATCATCATGTCGCGTGTTTTAAAGACATTGGATGAAGCACAACCGCTGAGCAAGCCGGATTCCGTAGAGGATCTGCGTCGATCACATCCAAACCGTTTCAAGAGTAGTGGAGGTCTGCCGTAAATACCAACTGCTTCTACTCCTCACCTTCGTCGATTACGAAAAGGCCTTCAATAATGGAACAACGCCGTTTTGACAGCTTTGCTCGACCAAGGCCTGGACCCAACATACATAAGGACTATAGCGGACTGCAACAAAAAATGTACGAGCACGATACAGCTGTTTGACCACCCGCTCCGCATCCGTATCGAGAAAGGGGTCCGACAAGGTGACACGTTGTCACCAAAGCTGTTTACCGCGGTGCTGCAGTGGTGCATGCGGTCGCTCGATTAGGATACGAAGGGGGTTTGCGTGGATGGAAGGTACCTTTCGAATCTACGTGTCGCAGACGATATCGTTTTGTTTTCGAAGCCTGTTAACGAAGCCGAAGAGATGCTGAACGAATTGAACGAAAGCGGGAGAAAGACTGGGCTTCGGATAAATTGAAAGAAGGCGCAGTTCATGAAAAACACTGGTGTAGTAAACGGTTATTCTTGGATGAAGAGTCGATAATCTTGGATGAAGAGCCGATAGGAGAATTTATCCTACGTTTATCTTGGACGCGCCATCAATATGAACAACAACCTGAAGGATGAACTTAGCCGAAGACAGAGAGCAGCTTGAGCAGCATTCGGTCCTCTGAAAGAGACTACAAACAACCTTGCTGATCCGGAATTGCGAGCTCATCTTTTTAATGCGACAGTTCTCCTGGCCTTGTGTTACGCAGCCGAAACCTGGGCTGATATCTCAACAACCGTGAAGGAACTACGAACGGCAAACCGTGAAGGCTCTACGAACGGCACACAGGGCACTCAAAAGAAGACTTCTGAAGATGACCAAGTTCAGGCAGTATCGACTCGGAGCTCCGACTTCAAACAACAATCGCGTCTAGAAGATCCAGCAGAGTACGTATCGAAGGACAAGCACAGATGGGCCGGTCATATATTGAGAAGAAATGACGACAGATGGACGAAAAGAACGATAGAATGGATCTCAAGATCCTCGAAACGTCCGCGCGGAAGACCACCGATGAGATGATGTGACGAATTTGTTGCCCGTGTAAACCAACTGCGCCAGCAGTTGGAGTTTGATTTAGGATCGTTCAGCAGCAATCGCAACCGCGTACCAAGACGATCATGGATGACGATTGCACGAAACCGCAACGAATGCTCAAAACTTGGGGCCCGCATGGCGCGTGAGGACCGGCCATCTAAGTAAATAGAAGTCTGTCGGTAGTACCGACTGCTTCTCCTCGTAACCTTTGCCGACTACGAGAAAGCCTTTGACAGCGTTGAAACCAACGCCATCCTGTCAGCGTTAGTCAATTAAGGAGTGGACCCAGCTTACATGAGGACGTTAACCAACTGTTGCAAGGACTGTACAATGACGATGAAGCTGTTCCATCGCCCCATGACAATCCCATATGGGAAGGGAGCCCGACAAGGCGACACAATTTCGCCGAAGCTGTTCGCCGCGGCTTTGCAGTGGGTGATGGTGATGAAGTCACTGGACTGGGACGGGAGAGGCATACGAGTTGATAAGAAATTTCTGTCGAACCTTCGTTTTGCGGACGACATCGTTCTCTTTTCGAGCAGTATCACTTAAGCAGAGACGATGCTGAAGGAACTGAACGAAGTAGGGAAGAAGATCGGATTGCGAATAAATCGGAAGAAGACTCAATTTATGAAGAACGCTCTTTGCGAAACCCCTATCATGGAGACTTCTTCTTACGTGTATCGGACGTTCGATGAACATGGAGGACGACTTAAGGGAAGAATTTAACAGGAGAAGAAAAGCAGCCTGAGCCGCCTTCGGGCCTCCGAAGGAAGCCACCGACCAACTGACGGACCCGGAGCTTCGTGCCCACCTGTTCGACTCAACCGTTCTCCCGGCGCTCTGTTACGCAGCTGAGACTTAGGCCGATACAGTAGCCACGTCGAAACGTCGAAAGCTTTACGGACCATCCGCAGAGCGCTCGAGCGCAATCTTCTGAAGATGACCCGACACAAGCAACATCTAGTCGGCCTTCGCAATACGGATAAGAGAAAAATGTCCCGTCTTCGTAACCCGGTGGAATACGTTGCCAAAGCAAGCACCGATGGGCCGGTCACATCATGAGAGGAACAGACGACAGATGAACACCAAGAACATCTGAGTGGATTCCTAGCGAAGCCAAACGTCCCCGAGGAAGACCACCAACGAGATGGGCAGACGTGTTCGTGGAACGGATGGACCAGCTGAGAAATCAGCTAGATACGACTTTCGCCCCTGGAACTCGTGGACGCAGCCAACGAGGACGACCAGAAGATCGTGAATGTTTGAAGCGAGGGACAGGGAATTATGACAAGTTCTGTACTGAGGCCCGCACGTCACGTGAGAACAGGCCATCTAAGTATCTAAGTAAGTTAGAAGCTTGCGGTATACAAAGAAGCTTGCGGGCAACTATGATCGGCTTCCAGATTGTATAGAGACATGTTTTGGACTAATTATAAGGATAAATTCGTTAAAACTCTACGTCAGCACTGTTTCTCGCTATGAGAAACCATCACAATTTGAGCTGCCACGACTCTGCTTCTATACGAATCGTGGAGGCAATGATAGTTATGTAAAACAGCACAGTTTAGGGTATGTACCATGAGAATCGTTTTCTTAATTCCAAGACGAGAATACAGCAATTACATATGTGTGTTCGATGTATGATCTTTGTAGACGATGCTATTAAAAGGTAGTATTTATCGATTTTTTGGTTCATAATTTTTTGGAGATTAGCTCCAAATTTGAGTGAATCGAAACAAGCGGAAGAACTCCATCTTTTTGAAGGATGCTTTGCTTTATCAAATGGTGCATGAACCCCTACCAAAAATGAAAAGAGTAGCCAAAGTGTAACAAGAATTATGTAATAGCCTAATAAAACCCTTATAAAGGTCATTGCAAAGCTGGCGGAGTGCTTTAGCTGATGGGCTTTACTTGCGTTGTTTTGTTAAAATTTACGGATCTTTTGATAGATATGACCAGAGCACACCCCAAACAATGTCATCTCCCATGGTGCCGTGGCCTTGTGCTACGAGGCTTGAGCAGTAAGCCTGAGGATGCGGCAACGCAGCCAAGGCCCGGCACAGATGGTTTGAGGTCAAACTGGACTTCGGTTTTGAAGTTAGAAGCAAAGGGGATATCGTTTTTATAAGGTCTTGGAAGAAGTGCCAAAAAAACGACGAACATGTCATGTTTTACAAGTTGAACGTGTTCTTTCGCAAGCACGCGAATTTCAAACGCAAGAATCGAACAAACAAATGATGTTTACAGCGCACAAACAATCACATGGCTCCGAATTTGGGCTATGTGTATACTATATCACTCCAAACTATGTTATGTAAAAAGTTCCAAAAACTTATGTGTTCTAATATCCGTTCCCGAATTTGTTGGTTTCTAGACCAACACCAAACCAAGTGGTTGGTTCGAAGCATAAATATCGGAGAGTTCACATAAGTTTTGCACCTTTTTAATTTGGGCGATTAGAACGGTCAAAAATCTATCATAAAGTGAAGAGAGCGGATCAAACCATTGCCTCTCCTCTTTTTTTGAGCCCAAAGTAGCGTAATTGTGCGCGATGATAGATATCGCGCTCCAATCACATGCGGTGTCTTTTGAACTATGGGGCGAAAAATGCATCGATGGGTTGTTAGGGCCACAGATTTAGTTGGCCTAGGAGGTTTTCGACATTCCGAGCACTAATATGGTACTATACTCAATGGCAGAGCCTTTAATCGACTCAAAATGTTTCCTTTTTGCTTTTTTGTTATACTAGATAACTCAAAATGCGCTTTTTTCGCTTTTTCAGGTTTATTTTGATTGAATAAGGGCATCCCTACTGATTTCTACGTCGAGAGGGACTTCGTAAATTTTCGCGAAGTCATGGGGGTTTTCGTTTCCAAAAAAGCTCCAAACCAACGCGTGCCGGGTCCTGAACGCAGCTCACTGAGTTGTCATACGGTAACTGCACCTATACCGTACGGAAGTATGCACTGCACCCTATACCCTATACACTGCACCCGGAAGCCGGCATAACTTCCGTACGGTATAGGGTGCAGTTACCCTATACCGTACGGAAGTTATGAGCAACTACCAACTGCGCAAATGCAACTTCGCGTTTCTTAAACTTCACAAAACTTCGAAACTTTGCGAAAACTTTTATCGGAGGGCTGAAAATCACTCATTTATGCAAAAAGTAGCCCGCCCTCTTCGGCCAATCTCGGACCTCACCGCTACTGCTTTTAACGAGTACAAACACGCAAAAGGCAGCATTTTTACTTCGTGTACCATAAGTACAACTACAGAAAAGAAAGCGATTTGGAGAAAAACTGTTTAGGCAGTTCAAAGTACGCAAAGACAGACCGCCAATGCGGAGGCACTGGTCTCGGGTACTTCCAGCAGGGAAGTACCCGAGACCAGCATGGCCTTTCCATGTAAGATGTACATCAAAACATCATCGACGATTTCAAAGTTATGTTTTCATGTACCAAGCAAAATAAGTAGTTTGAAAAATGGTATTTTAAAACGCTTTTAACTTTTTCCAGAAGATAGCTTTGTTAAGGAGCGTTTGACCAGAATTTCAGCATATATTCATATGGGAAAGTTACAATAAACTAGCTTCCTTCGCCAGATCAGATATATTCTCATTTCTCTGCCGTTGCGGTCTTTTTTGAACACGAACTGTCTAAATAGGCAAAGGCGTTCAGTCTCTGCGTGCGATAAATCATCCATACTGTTTTCTAAATGTCAACTCACATATGGCTTTAAGAGAGCTTCTATGTCATTTTTATTCGGACCATCATTTCTGAAACATGAATAGCTACTAAATGTAGAGAGTTTGACTAAAAGCTCACACATAGTTAAGTGGAGTTTGCAAACACATTCGACCCTCAAATCTTTGCACACTTTCCAACTTCAACTTTATTTCAGCCTAAAATTGCTATATTTTCAACTTTGGGTTTTGGCTATGTAATACTGTGGAAAATTTCATTGATAAAGTCTCGCGGTGTAAGGCTTGTGAGGTTTTAGTCAAGCACCTTTTCAATGTAAGCCACTGTAGGCCACAAAGCACCAACTCAGACAATCGCCAGGGCAGACGGTCCGCAAACTCGCGTTTTTCTGCAGGCGCTCAGCAGAATTTTGGGGCGTGGCCAAATATTCAGCGGGCGGTCCTTTACTGTCTAATGTTCTGCCATCGGGCAGAAACACAGAATTTTCTGCAGGCGCTCGTCAAATAATCTCTTTCAGCGAGCGCTGGTCAAATTTTCAGCTGGCGCTCGGACGGTTTTTAAGCAGTTTCGGGTGTACGCCGAGCAAAGGTGAGACTCTACATAGCAGAGATTTCATCGATGGTTTAATTACTCAAGTTTGAGGTACTTTCTCTCAGCGGAAAGTACCTGGGGGCTGCGCGGTCCTCCACAAAGGACAGTGCGGCCCTCGAAAATTTTCCATATTCTCGCGGAAAGTCCACGAGAATGCGGCCACTGCGCCGCAGCTAATCTGTAAGGAAACCGCGATTGTTCTTCAAGCATTCGTCCAAAATTTAGATAAAATTCTTCCAAATATCTGCAAGCGGACCGCAAGAAATCAGCGAACTATTTTTCCGGTGCCCGCTTGCCCAAAAATGGCATGGCCGCCTGCCCCCGCAATTATCTGAGAATGTAAGCTGATCTTCATGAGCTGCAACTGCTAAAAACTTCAGCACCAGACCAAGGGCAAACAGTATTTGAATGAACAGCCTCGAACGCGGCGCGCGCATGTCTGCTCTGTCTGTCTCTTGCAAACCCTGCTCCTCGTGCTTTTCGTGGCTATAAAGCCGCTATCCTCGGTTCGCGTGACCCGGCGTTTAATCTTAAATTGTTGTTATTCTTAGAACACCCTAGAATGACGATTATATTGCAAGTGATGTTGTTCACCAAAGCTTTTGAAATTACATGGCTTACTAGCAGCTTGTCCGCATTGAATGAGTCATACGTACCCTTCATTTCATTGAGAGTAGCGGCTGATGGGTGTGGCTGTTCGGAACTGTGTGGGGCTCCGAACCTCTTTCGTGGGCGTGCTCTCTGATCATCTTTCCGATACGAGTGGTAAAGGCAGAGCTTGAATCATAGAGAGCGGAAGAGGTGCAAAACCATGGCAGGCGGCTGCGCGGAGTGAGCCCCGCCCACCGCCGTCACTTCCGAAGAATCAGAGAATCGCATGTCATTGGCCAGGTTTCTCGATGCCGTTTGACAAAGCAACGCTTCATGATACTATATTATGAACGTTTGCACCGAATCTCACCCACTCGAAGTTAAAAGCCGAAAATTAAAAAAATCGAATTGTTCAGAAAATGAAAGGGAACCTAACCGTCAGAAAAATTTTGCTTATCTTTCAGTGATTCAGTCAGGCATATTCACCTATATATGTGAAACTCAAACTTTGTAAGTGTGTTCGTTTATTTGTTCGTTCATTATAGAAACGCGCGCCACTAAACTGTTCCAGCTGAAACTTTGCACACGATGTTTTCGACCCGGCGCTGGTTTAGGGTTAATTTTCGCGATTCACTGGGTCCTTTTTCGTTTTATTGATTTGTTTATTCAATCTCGAAGAATGAAAACTTTTCATGCTCCAACCTGATCATATAAGCAGGAGCGGTAGAGTCCATTTCTATCTCAAAGTCGGAAGGATGCGGCAAGTCGTCTCAAAGCGCTTTTTGCCCACCTTTGAAGAAGTTCAGAAGCGTAAGTTTGCACGTTTGTGAGCTAAACTAATTTAGAGCCTCGGGTGGGGCCGGGACTATCAACTAATTTTACATAATCATTCATATATGCCGATGCTTTTGTTTTTTCTTTGTCTAAAAACGCAAAAAACGAATGTTTATAATTGACAAAGTAATTTTGGACTGTTCTCACATAGTAGCTGTATGTATACTATAGACCTTTGAAAGTAAAATGTGATTCTAGTTTTCCAAAGCGTTAGTTTTCAAGAACCATTAGAAGTAAAATCATTTTCCTTGAAAATTTTATTTTTATTTTGTTGATTCTTTGCTGAAGGAGAAATACAGCAACGATCAGATTGTCCCATAAGTTCTGTCTGTTTTGAATCCCAACCGCAAAAAGTCAAACGATTTTTATTTCTAAACAGAGAATCGCAATTTCTAAACAGGTATCAAGGTACCGTTCGATAGCGCAAAGCAAGCTGTACAAAATGAGATATTGTTTTTGCACCAATGTGATCCACTTCGAGTTTCAAGCCAAAAACTATTAGGATTCGACTGCCCGAAAAGTTGAGGAAAATTGTAAGTTTGTTCAAAAACTACGAAAATCTTGCTCACATATACAATACCCATATGAGGCATTCATAAACGCCTGCCGTAATTTTTCCTCAGTTAGAAATCAAGAAAACAAAGTGCATGCTTTTACCAAAGTGATGCTGTGCAGTCTTTACATGAGTGATTACTATTAACCGTAAAGTAGAAATACAAATTTTCAACTCTTTGCTTTGGTTTTTTATATGGATTTTGGCGTAAGTCACCCCACTAAGGGGAACCATATTCGATTATTTTTTGAAAACTAAAGCCTGTAAAGAGCTGAAAATTTACGTGTACTTGTACAGGCCTGCAGTATACAATTACTTAATGGAGGTACAGCACAGCATCACTTTGGGAGAAGCATAAAGATCTTTGTTTTTTTGATTTCTAACTTAGGAAAAAATACTTCAACGATGTAAGTGTCGATAGTGCACACGAAAGCAATTTGGAATTTTTGTGCTACATTTAGAAGGGGTTACGATTTTTTTTGTTTTTTCGAGCGGTTGCACCTTTTTGGCTTTTGTCTTGATACTCGAGGTGGTGCCATCTTGTAGGTTGCTTTGCTCGATCGAACGATGCTTGCTACCTATTTAGATATAAATGTACGACTTGTTACGGTTGAACTTTGAACCGGACGGAATTTATGGGATAACTTGATAAACAGGGTGTCCGTAAAGTATGTATACACTGTTTAATCGTTGATATCTTTCTTCCCAAGAAGTCTTTTGTCTTGCTCCAAGTATCGTTTTGTAGAGCTGGCTTTTAGATTTACACTATGGAGAATTACCCACCTCTCTTCATTGCTATTGGATTACGGTGGAAACTTCAAAGAGGGCTTTGAGCCATGAAAGGCCATATTTTGCCTCAGAAAGGAAACAAAACAGCTTTACACTAGGCTTATTAGAGTTGTTGATTCTAAAATTCCCAACTTATTACGATGCTTCATTGAAAAGTCATGTCGGGTAAGAGGTAGCGGCCATTTTTTCAATGTTTCTAAAAAGTGCGGTTACACCGTTTAGAAAGCTTCGCAATCCTGTGAATATTTAAGTATTAAACTCAGCGTCCATAAAAACCCTATTATACAAGTTTTCACATTTTTTGAAAAACTTTGAGACAGCAACTTTTTCCACATGGACACGTAAACCTACAGTAATGAAGAGAGATGGGTGATCCGTTCTATACTGCAAATCTAAGTAGAAGCCAGCTCTACAAAATAATACCTGGAGCAAGGCAAAAGGTTTCTCGGGAAAAGAGGTATCAACGATCAAACACTGTATACATACTTTACGGACACCATGTGTATATTATTAGGTTGTAACAGAATTAATGCAGGTTTTGAATTCCAACCGCAAGAAGTCGTACACTTCTCATTTCTAAGTAGATTGCAAAACACCAATCGATAGAGCAAAGCAATCTCTACAAGATGGCTATCTTGATTTAGCAACAACTCTGAACCACCACGAGTTTCGAGCCAAAAACTAAAAAGATTCAACTGTCCGAAAAACAATTGAATTCAACTGTCTGTGCCCTTTCCACATAGGTAGTTGTATACTACAGACCTATAGAAGTACTAACGCAAATTTTCAGCTCTCTACAAGCTTTAGTTCTCGAGTTATATCGATTATAGTTCTTCCTAGTCAGATGGTTCAAGCTAAAATTCAAAATTCTCGAGAACTAAAACTTGTAGGGAGCTGAAAATTTACGTTTGTACTTTTACAAATTCGTAGTATACAACTGCTTATGTGGGAACGGCATAGCAACACTTTGGCAAATGCACGAAAATTTACGTTTACTTGGTTTCTAACAGAGAAAAAATACGGCAAAGGCGTGTATAGATGTCTTATATGAATAGTGTTTACGTGAGCAAGTTAGAATTTCTATAGGTTTTTTATGAACTGAGTTACGATTTTTCTCAATTTTTCGGACAGTTGAATCTTTTTAGTTTTTGGCTCGAAACCCGAGGTGGATCAGAGCTGTTGCAAAAGCAAGATAGTCATCTTGTAGAGATTGCTTTGCTCTATCGAATGATGTTTTGCAGCCTACTTAGAAATGAGAAGTGTATGACTTATTGCGGTTGGAATTTAAAACCTGCATTAATTTTGTTACAACCTAATAGATCGTTCCGAAAGCTCTTGCGCACGTTTTTCAAAAATTCATAACTCTTTCACTTCTCAACGAATTTGTTCGAGCAAAATTTTGCCTAAGAGAGGAACTCATGCTTTTTGCACAAGTACCTGAATTGTTCGTCAATGTGTACAAATGAAAGAGATAAAAGCTGATAATGAAGTCACTCAAAATTTGAATTTTTCGTGTAGAGTCAAAAGAAATCGGAAACTTGCAACAAAAGTCGGAGCAGTCGATATTGTAGGTTTTTTTACCAGCTCTTTCAACAGTACGAAGTTTGCGCCGATTGAGCGTTTCTGTGAAAAGTTATGTCTCTAAAACATGCCAAAATAAACCAAATTCGCTCTTTTGTGCTCGAAATTACTCGAAACTCGAAGCTTGCTCGAAATTATAATTTTTCATAGAGACGCTCAATCGGCGCAAACCTTGCACTGTTGGAAAAAACTGGTAAAAGAACCTACAATACCGACTGTCCCGATTTTCGTTGCAAGTTTCCGATTTTTTATGACCCTACA